ATAAGGAACCTGCTAGAACCAGGTAACGCAGGCCGGCAAATTAGGACCCCCGGAGCCAATTAACAAGAAGCTGCTAGAATCAATTAAGACAGGCTAATCAGGGCACCTGGGTTTTAAAAGAAGCTCACTTCAGTTTGTGGTGAGAGTGTGAGGAGCTGAGAGGGTGTGCTGCTGGAGGACTGAGGAGCACAAGCGTTATCAGACACCAGGAGGAAGGTGTTTGGAGGAGGCCATGGGGAAGTAGCCCAGGGAGTTGTAGCTGTCATGCAGCTGTTACAGGAGACACTATAGACAGCTGCAGTCCACAGGGCCCTGAGCTGAAACCCAGAGTACAGGGCGGGCCAGGGTTCCCCCCAAACCTCCCAATTGACCTGGACTGTGGGTTCTTCCAGAGGGGAAGGTCTCTGGGCTGTTCCCCAACCCACATGGTGAATCTCTGAGGCAAGAAAATCTGCCAATAAGCGCAGGACCCACCAAGATAGAGGAGGAACTTTGTCACAATTAACTATATCTAAATATTAGAGTAGTTAATAGTATTTTAAAGAGACAAATTTTGCACTGAGACCAGTGTGAACCAGCCCTTCAGGAAAGTAGGGGCAAGATTTGGATAGGGCAATACACATCATGGAGCTCAGCTCCATGGTGACCTCCTGTACACCAGCATGCAAAATGTGGGATCAGAGAAAGGGCCAGAAAAATGTGGTAGTACACTCATAACCGGATTCTCCCTGGGGAGCAAGTGTGTCAGGATGAAAGTGGCTACTAGCCTCTGGGATGTAGCAGTGACTTCATATCTGTTAGGGAGCACGCCTCCCTCCCTGCTTCACCGTCTCTCAAAGTTACTATGAGACCAGACCAGCTACTCAGGTGCACACGGGTCTGAGGATTTGGATTTGTTATCTTTTAAAATTAAACATTAATTGTACATCAAATATTCTTATTAATTAAATGTATACTAGATGAGGTATTTTGGTGTAATACCATATAATTTGGATGTGATCTCTTCTAAAAGTTATATTTTTATGTGCTTATATTGAGAATGCATAAATTACAATAAAACATGAAAAAGCTTTTCTGTTTTCCTTAAAACAACATGACTTTGAATTTCTGAACAATGATAATATATTTCAATATACAATATAATAAATGATAAATTAACTAATATCTTTTTCATGTGGCATGTACTATTATCCAGGAGGCTTATAGATATTATAAAATATATTCTATAAATTAAATACTTTTTTAAATATAGAAAGTAATTTGAAATGTTTACAAAAAATAATTGTCTTACTATTGTAATGTTCTTTATTTTTCAGAACAAGTCACAAGGTTGTCATCCCTTTCGTCATAATTTATGTATTATGTACTTTCATAAATATTTACAAATATTAATTATAAAGAAAAATATTTTTCTTCTTGTAATCACTATATGTTCATAGGAAAATATAAGCAGTAAATATTCATGATTCCTATTTGTTCATTTATTTTAAAGGGTTTATTTTGTTTTTGTTTTTACTTTAAGACTGTACAAAGTACTCATTTCATTATATGTGCAAAATATTTTAAATGCCCAATGCCTTTTTGATGTATTTGTTATAAGAATATTTTCTAGTATTATGCCCCATTGCTCAGTGTATTGGTAAATCTTGATCCCATTAATACTCTGGATATAGTTTCCAAAAGTATGGAACTTCCTGTCTGGCAAACTCAGAAGGATTTCCTGTATATCATCCCTTCCATCCAACCAAATTTCCCGTACATCAACCCCATCTCTATCTGAGCAAAATCCTGTCAGTCCCCTTCCGACTATTTTTGTTGGTTTTGGTGGTGGTGGTTTTCCAGAACCACTGTTACATATCCCAGTTCTCTACTCTGTTCCTCCTTAGGCATGCATCTTCAGACACATATTAAGGATATGCACTGTGGGTGGGATTTTCAAAAGCACTCAGTGTTGACCTAACTGCTCCTATTAGAACTAAGGCCAGGTCTACAGTCAGACCTATATCTGAAAAATGCACACTCCTGAGCGACATAATTATACCGACCTAACCCCTGGCATAGACAGTGTTATGTTGATCGGAGATGCATTAACTATGCCGGTGGCGTAGTAGCATCTTCACTAAAGTTCTACAGTGGTATAGCTGTGCCATTGTAGTGCTGTGGGTGAACACAAGCCCTTAAGGTAAGGCTACTGTTGACTTCAATGGGAAACAAATTAGCCTAATGGTGTACACTATGGAAAATCTCATCCTTTAACAATGCAAGGGGACTGATAAATGTGCTTACTATTTTGTCTTTATTCCCAGCTATTTGGGTTCACTGAATGTTACTTCAGCACCTCACCATAATATTTTCATACAATCAGACATAAAGCAAAGTTGCAGTTTAGCTCAGATTCCAATTTTAAGGGTCAGATCTTCAGCTGGTACAAATCTACTGATTTCTTACACTGATTTACATCAGCTCTAAAATCTACAGCCCTAAATCTGTATTACACTTTTTTATGTGCCCTCTGATTCAAGAGACACTGAAAAAGGATTTCAAACAACAGCTAACCAGATACGTACTTTTTATTCAACTATAACATCAAGAAGTAAGCTTGAAATAGATTCTTTTAGAGATAAGACTTTTATATTTAACTAAAGATTCTTTAAAGAATGCTTTCTCTGTTTTAGGTAACTGCACTGAAGCATCCTGAATTTTACTAAGAGTATGGTAATAATTTTCTTCCTGATCTGTAATTATATTTGACTACAATTAATTACTGACAGATACACATTTTCACTTTAAGGGCAGATTGCTCACCATGAAATACATAATCTCCTCTGCTTCAATAAACAGAAAGGGTCAAGACCAAACAGATATAGCTGGGATGATGGAAGGGAAAAGCCATAGTTGCACAGCTTCTTCATCCCTTTCAGATACCTTAAAGAATAAATAATAATTAAAAAAAATGTTCACAAAATACAGTGCAACATCAAGAGGTGAGGACTCCCAGTAGGTGAAATTTAACCATTGGCAGAGGGCTTGTACAAGGCCCTCTGCAACATCAATGAGGCGTAAGAGGAGCATTGTCCCAGAGGAGTGGAGGATGGGAAGCTAGTTCTATCTATTCTAGAATAGATGGGTGCATTGAGACAGGCCAAGGAAGAGACCACTGGGTGCATGCTTTTAAAAATCCACAAATTCATTGAGAGAGTCTGCAAAGGGCAGACATGGAGTGCTGAATAGTACCTCTATAATTTCTAGGCTCTAAATTTCATATAGTTCCCTATTTTTTTCATGGTTAAATCTCACAGTGAACCAATTACATGGTTCTGGTTTGTGTTTACATAGCGTTCCCTAGAACCAGAAGTGGTATTAATGGCCTTTCTAGACCACAGCATGTGACTTCCCCAAAGAGCTATCCCAATGAAATAGGTTACACTCAAAATGCAGCAAAGAGCAGCAAAAGAATTGTGCAAGTTTTATATGGACAGTACGTAAACATGATAAAGTTCTAACAAGCCATGAGTTCATAAACATAGGGCAAATTCAGACCAAGGCTGATTCTCAATGTTTTTGCAGTTTTGCACAATTAAAGTCATTACTCCATTTAAAGGACTAATACATTTTCTGATTTTGGAGAAGTCCTTCTTAAGAATCTCCTGTCACATCTTGAATATTCTAAGAACAGAAAAGGATCAGAGCCTCAAGCACCTTGTTAAGCAGTTTTACAATTCTGGTGTCACTCAGACGTATCAGGTGAGTGATTGTTTCTTATGTCAATTCTGCAATTTGATCTCCAAACACTATGTACACGTTTGAGGGCTGTTGCTGATAGGAGCACATTATTTTGTGAAAAATGTATTTCAAGTTTTTCTAATATTATGTTACTCTGAAATTAAATCTGAGCATCCAAAACCCTAAAGATAACTCCAATGCCTTTTAAAAACTTTTTGTGGCAGCTAACTCTTTTGTAGCTAATTTTCACAAATATCGGCACCCCTATGTGTTTACCCTAAAGGTTGTTACCCCTGCACAAGAATGGGGGTCTTAGGAAAAGCAGGATTCTCCAAAGAAAACTAACTCAGTCCTTGAAAAACTGAGACTGTCACAAAACCTGAGCAGCTGGCAACTCTGTCACCATGAAGTATCCATATGGAAGACCGTGATGTGTCAAACTACCCAAAACGATTTTGGATAGTGTAGAAGATAGAATAAATAATTCAGTATCTTCAACACTTTCAACAGCAGGTAGTAGATATGCTACCTGCTTCTATGATGTGCCAAAATGTAACATGTGAGAGAGAGACAGAGAGAGAATGTGAGCATCTCCAAACTGTTTTCATGTGGATATATTGCTTGAGGAAGTTCTCTTTTTAGAGGCATATGATCGCTATCAGAAGTTTGTCAGTAACAGGCAACATTGCAGTGCATTAGGAAATGTATAGAAAAAAATCAGATATTCATTAAAATTCTTTTAATATATATGCACACAAAATATAGATGTAATAACTGAAAATCTATGTTACACATTATGGTGAGATTTTACCCATGAAAATACCAGGAAATTCAAAGTATGGTTCCCCCTCAAATGTAATGCAGCCCCTTCATGCATATGTAATATTTGTTATTACTTCATAGAGTGATAACTATTCTATCTTAATACATACTGTACAGTATATGCAATACAGACACTTGAAGTGGCAGTGGGAATCATAACTTTAAATGCCCTGATTTTTGTCAATGCAAATTCTCAACCATAAAGTTATATATAATATTTTACATTTATACCCCTTTTCATCACTTTTTAAACAATAATCAAACATTAAAAATAATACAGGTTGGGATCTGAGGATAGAACTTGGCCCAGATCAAAAGTAAATCAATAAGGAATGTTATATTCTATATAAACTGTACATTATTATCAATCACTGATTGTTCGCAATCAAAAATTTTCAAACTTAGCAAAGTGCACATTCATTAATGACTACATCCATGCCAGAATTGAACTAAAAAATAAATATGGTTAAGTTATCTGAGATCTCAGAAAGTAAGATAAATACTTTTTCAGCACTTGGATAATTCAAAAATGGCCAAACAGAATTTAAGCAAACTTTCCAAAAATATTTAATTTCATCCTGAAGGAACATTTGTCCAGAATTAAGTGTCTGGAAATGGGATCACATAATAAAAGTTACTCCTCAGCTACATTAAATACATTTTGCATTGATTTGGATCTATATATGCAACACAATTTTTAGTGTAATCTATAGTGACTGATCATTTTATCTCATGTGCTTTGGTAACATAAGTCTCTAGCTACAGCAACCCTACTAAGATAGAACAAGAGAGTGAGTGTGAAAAGAAAGGCAGCTTGCTTTGCTACAACTGCTACATCTGGTGCTGCTGACACTGGGGATAGGGGACCAACCAGAAGGACAGAGAGTATCCGAGAAATACAGAAGAGAATATGGAGGAAGAAGAGAGGTGTTAAATACATAAATCTGAAAGGTAAGAACTTTAATTCGGAAACCAAATGACAAAAGATTGCTCAAAGAAGAATACAGGCACTTACGACACAATTGGTTCCTGAAAATTGTGTTGTAAGTCGAAACATTGTAACTCGGAACTGCAATACAGTGCATTGCGGGACTGAGCATCGTAAAGGTGAAACCAATTGTCGTAAGTCGAATCAGGGGGTCAATTCAGAAACATAAGTGCTGTTCATTGTAAGTCTAATGTTGTAAAGTTGAGGACTGCCTGTACAGCAAGTGTTAGTCTCAAAAGAAAGACTGCTAACTGAAAATGTATGAAAACAACATTGAATCCTTTCAAAAAGTTTTTTTTAAATATTAACCTATTAATTTTTTCCCTAATTCATGGTTAAAAATCCAACAAGATTGATAGACTACTTCATCTACATTAGTATACAATACACATTTGCCATATGGATGGATGAGCTAGTTTAAAAAAAGATAATCCCCCAAATCTTTCACCCACTTCTGGAACCTGATTCAAGACAAACCTTTCATAGGTTCTAAAATATACAGAATCTCTGTGTGTGCGCGCGCGTGTGCGCATTCCCTTGCAATTCTTCCATTTGGACAAAAAAGAAATGAGACGTGCCAAAATATCACAAGAAAGGTTGGTCTCACAGCACTTCTGGCACAGATTGGAAAATGGTAGTACTTTGAATTTTGTTCCTATTACATTTTCAACCCAATTTGCTGAGCAAGCAAACTAAAGCTCAGCTTTGGAACATTTTGAGATTTGCCCATTCTGTAAATAATAATTAGTACTTGTATAATGTTGTTAAAGTTCCATGTGTTTTACAAACAACTATTTATTCCAACATCCCTGAGAGGTAGATACAGTTCAGTGGATGTCCTTAAACTCTTCCCTTTTAATTTATCATTAAATAAGGCATTAAAAGAATTATTTCACATATAAGGGAATATGTACTCATATTGTTAATGCCTTACTTAACAGTAAAAGGACACATTTAAAGTGTGCTCACGGTCAGCATTATTATCCTCATTTCACATATACACAACCTGAGGCTCAGGTATTAAGTGGCTACTTTATAGCCACAGACGGAATCAGTACTCTGATTAGAACTCAGAAGTTCCTGTATTCCAACCCAGTGCTCAAACCACAATACCGTGCCTATGTCTTTTTAATAACCACTGTTCAATTCATCTGTAAATTTAGAACGATCTAAATATTCATCCATGTAGTTATATGTCCCTAATCATCATAGCATCTGAATGCTTTCTTGAATCAGACATTGTGGGTAAGTTAATATCTTTTAGTGGACCAACTTCTGTTGGTCGAAGAGTCAAGCTTTCAAACTACACAGAGCTCTTCTTCAGGTCTGATAAAAAGGACATTCAGTCTGTATCTTAAGACCACAGCAACTCAATATCTCATGTCTTCAGATTTTTTATATTTTTTGCTTTTGTTCTACTTGACTCCAATATACATCTATGAAATAGTAATATCCTAACTTGAACCATTTGAAACTATGGCCATGACAACTGTTGAAGATACCTAATTTGTGGTATCAAAAGAATGAATGAATCTTTTTCTATTTTGAAAAAGATCACAGGAAGCTGGTGGAACTCTTTAGTTTCCAACTTCTACTAAAAACTGAATAGTGTTAATGAGATATTTTTTATCACATTGTCCAAAAAACAGTTTTTCCAACAATGCCTTGGGAATGCATACAGTATCATTTTAAGGTGTCTTGAAAAGGAAATTTTTGTCAAGCTGTTCATCAAGGTGACTGGAGATAATCTTTGGAAAGTATGATGATCCTTTTTTTAAAAGCTCTGGACAATCAGTAACTCTAAGATCGTATGGAATTAATTTTCTCTCTACATCTTTAGTATATTTTCTGGAAGAAAGGAAAGAAATTTACTGTAAAATTCAAGACCTTTATAAAATCTTGAGCTCTAAGGGACAGATATTTACAGGATCTCTACTTTATTTCCTCACTCTTAAATATAAAAACAATTAACAAGCTACATTAAATTATTATAAATGAAAAAGGTGACAGTTCCTTTCTGCTTTTTCTGTAATCTGTTGTATCTGGCTATCACAGCATTTGGGGATATGTTTTGCAATATCTGGGTCTTGCCTTGCTTCTCATATTCTTAATATCACTTTAAATTAGTTGTGTGTGTTAGAAGTATAAATGTGTGCTCAGCAGGCCAACAATAGGCTACCGTGCAGGAGTTATGAATTTGAAGGACATTGCTACCTTACAATGCAATCAGTGTAGGAGGAAAATAATGGAGAAGGTTCAGGAAAATAATATTTCCCATGTCCATGAGTCACTGGCCCAAGAAACAAAACTACCTTAAGACAAGGCCATGGGGACTACAAAGAATTAGAAATGGGGAACACATATTTTAGGGTCATTTGAGTATCATCAAGAA